GAGAGTGCAGGATTGCAGGAGGTGAGTAGGAAAGCCTCTGAGCCTGCACAAAGTGCGTGTTTGGTGCACATGTGCACAAATTGTATGTATGCACGCAAAGCACACCCACCAAACCACACCCACCAAACAGATGGTAAACCATTTTAAACCCACCAGTGGAGAAACAGCTTTAGAATGCAAGGAGCCACTTCATCCATTAGTAATGAATGATGGGATATTCAACAATCCTTCATAATAGACAACTGCAAACAAAAGACCAATGGGTTAATATGTCTAGTAATTAACGTAATATTTTTTGGTGGACAGATGAAAGAAAACCTTAGTGGAAAGCTACATCAATTTCCAATTTTGGCACAAGTCTTGCCTATATATATATCTGGGTGGCATGTTTGTATACAGCCTTTGGTAATGGTAACTCTTTCTTTAATTTGAGGCACAAAGAGAAGCAGAAACAGGTTCTGATGTCAGCCCTTGATAGACTAGGTTAGGAAACAGACATCACAGAAACTATTGGAATTTTTAATGGGCATAATAATACAACCATGAAAACATGATAAGTCTTTCTCCCTTCTTACCCCATACCAAAGGAACAAGTTGGGGAAACTGACAAGATAAGTAAGAGGTAGCAAATGGAATGTGATTATGACATGGCTGTCAAACTCGCAGCCCATGGGCCGAATACATCACACTCTAGCCACACCGTCCAACACCCAGTTTAGTGAAAGGGAAAAAAGTTGTGATATGTCACGTGATGCTGCCATGACGACGCAAGTCTGACACCCCTGGGTTATGACAAACATCTTAGAAGGAATCCCCCCGAATTTCAAAAGCTGTAAATGGAATCATTAATGTTAGGAATGTAAGTCACCTCACAGTTATTTGGGTTGGAAATATATAAACTAGGATAGACATTTTAATACTACGTCTTTAAGAGAATGCTAAAACTGTAATTGGGTGTGGTTCCACAAATGGCTATAAGATGGAGCCAGAAACCTGGGTTGTTTAGTCTCAGTGAGTCTCTGTTCCTTCTGTTGGAGAGTGTTGCTGTTCCTCCTAATGACTGTTACTGATCATTGATGTAAGTCTGTAACTGAACTGTTTTTGATACTGGACTTTGATATTTGGATTATCCCTGAACTGAAAACTGACTGCTTTACCTGTGAATGACTTGGACTGCTTATCTTGGACTTTGCTTAAACGTTTATGGGAAGTAAAAAACCTACATTTACTGTACAGTGTATCTGTGTGCCGTGTGTGTGTTATTCTTCACTACTCTCACTACGTCTCCCTGTATGCGCTCATTCTCCTAACAGGGAATTACCTCAACACTCTATAATAAAGTATGATTGGATATACAGTACTTTCTGTTTGGACTATCTTGCAAGGTAGCATATCCAAATTAACTTCTTCCAATCTGTTGGGATTATATACTTTTGACAATATAGTTCCTTTGACCTTCAAAGGTTAAATATTATAAGATACCTAAAGCCATTTTGGAGTCCAGCACCTTCAAAATTTAATAAATAAACAAGCAAGCAAAAGTAAAGAGTTTTGGCTCCTATGTTATTCACTAAGTTGGGGCCATGACAAACTCTAAATCAATAAGATCATATGTGAAAGCTCTTGAATTTCTTCATCTATCATCATTGAGTGAAAAAAAACCTATCTCTTAATATTTTGTTTCTTCAACAGAATTTTGAGTGAAGTATTTGAACTATATAAAAGAGTTTTAGCAAGACATTCCAACCCAGAGTCAACATATCCCAAAGGGAACACCTTGACAAGCACATCACATATCAAATCCAATTCTTATAGATACTTTTTATAAGCATAACCACAATTTATTTTTTTCTTTTTTCTTTATAACTTAAAAACATCAAACCATTCAGCAACATCAAATGGTACACTAGATCTTTAAAGCTGTACTGCAGTACAGTTTTGACATTTAGCCTAGCAGGATAAAGCCATTTAACATTGTTATATATCTGAAAATATCATCATTGCATGATTAGATAATCAGCAATGTATTCTGGTGTACCTATGCATTATATAATATAATGTTTACAAATTAATTCAATCATGTAGGTAATAGACAAAACATTTGTGTGATTGCGGTACAGGCCAGCAGAAAAATCCATACCTTTTGCTAAATGAGTATTAATGGGGTTTATTCACCAAGAGCTAGGAAAAATCTTTTCTGGACAAAAATTCAATATAAATTTTGCAGACATAGAAACACTTAAAGAATAACTTCAGAATCTATCATTTGTATGTCATATTCTCTATTTCCTGAGCCCTGCTCAGAGCCATGCTCTCCAGACAGAATAAAGATGAAAGGCTATGAAATTATTAAGATGCCTTGTTATTTCAAATGAATATGTCTAGAAAGAAACATTCATGTGAAAACATTTTTTAATATTTTTCTCTTGTAAATATTCAGACCATTAATATCAAGAGTTTAAATGGTACACAGTCCAGTCCTGTCACAGGTATCAAACATTCATAAATCACATATAAGAAAAAATGATCTTCTGTGCTCCTTGTGCTCAGTCTTATAGTTCTATGAATTACTAGTTTCAGAGGTATTTCCTTACCTAAACAGAGAAATACAGAATGCTGGGCAAAAAGCAGCGGGAATGGAAATAGCCTCCAAAGTCTTGCCAACTTCCTTATTGAATTTCCTTGTGAGAAGCTAATAGTGAGCATCAGAAATCAATCCTTCCTTTCTTCTCTCCCTCCCTCCTATCCTTCTTTCTTCTCTTCCTTCTTCCCTTCTTCACTGTTCCCTTCCTTCTTTCCTTCCTCCCTTCCCTCTGTCCCTCCCTACATCCCTTCCTTCTTCTCTTACTTAGTCTCTTCTCTCCTTTTGTAACTATTTGACAGCTTCCTTATTTACTTTGTGAGAAGCTTGCATGGAAAAGGTCAATGGAGGAGCTAATAGGAAATTGCAAATCCAAGGTCAGCAGGCAAGTAAGTGGCTGTTGTCAATTGGAGAAGGAACAAAAAGATGTGTAGGGTGCAGATCAGGAATGGTATGTGGGAGTACACAAAATGTGTTGTATGGTTAGGAAGAGAGTTTAGACCAGAGATTACCACACAGGTCAATGAGGGCGTGTAGATGGACATCATAGTTCAGGAAATTGACCTGGGGTGTATGAGAGGTGCTGTAGAGGTTGGGTAGGATATGTGGGGGGTTGGGGTGGCATAAATCAAGAATAATGAATGGGTGTTGCAAGGCTGTGTGACAGGTACCATATCAATTGGGGGTGGTATTGTAGGCAGCATGGATCAAGAAAGGTGTGCAAAAGGAATTGGAACTGGATTGGAAAAAGCACGTGGAAGGTGACACAGATTGAGGAAGACAGGTGGGAGGTTGGCCCAGACTGAGAAAATGTGTAGAGGAGAATGGCATGGGCCAGGAAGGAGTTTTTTCTTCCCTGTTCCTTTCTCTCTTGCTTCCTCTTTCCTTTCCATTTACAGCAGGCAGAGAAATGGCTGCTGCTGAGTGAGGCAGGGAGTGAAGGATTATGGAAGTGGCAAGGAAAGTGTCATAGAACATTTAAAATGAAAAGGACATGACCACAGCAGCAGCTGCTAGCACTGAAGCAGCCACAAATTTCTCAAATTTAGTTACCTTGGGAGTTATGGGTCCTGGTTTCTGGACATATTCTGTTAGTTAGCTCATCTGAGGTATCTTGGTTCAAAAATTGTTCTTCTCTGATACACCATTCACCCATTATGATATCAAGAGTTTTAGGACTATATAGATACACAGACCCGTAAAATGTGGGAATTGATATTTCTATTTATTTCCCTGCTAGTTGCTTGAGGGGAAAGTCACCCATAATGTGCTTCATAATCTTAATGGCCTATATTAGCTCAGTCATCCAATATGAATCTTTACTGCTTCTATATTGTTAATGGATTAAAAAGACTGTAGATGGCATTAGATAGAACACCTTATGGAAAATTACCAGATAAATGACATTATAATTTTTAATTCTAATAACCTTTTATGACTATTTCTCAGAATGAGCTATATTAGGTACATCCTGAATATGTCAGTAGAGTGCTTTCTCCAATACAATCATTAATGTATTTGTGTCAAAGAATACTTTGTAGGAGGAAGATACATTGTAAACTACATTATAGTGTTAATATTTCTGGGACAACATAATTCACATCAAAGAAAGTGATTTCCAAAAGTAGAGCAACCAACAAGACTATAGGTTTCTTCTTCTCCACACAGCAATGATCAAGAGTAGTATACATTCTAATAGTATAAATCTCAATTTTGGAAATTATGTAGAGGTGGGATCTGCATAGTTCAAAGGAAGAACTTATCTGTTTGGGTTGCAGCAAGTGATCAGGTTGCCTTCCTCGGGATATTTAAAACCAGGCTCATGACTATGCAGCCTTTTAGAACAAACTCTACTGGGTTGCAAAAATAATAATACAAAAGGATGTGTGGACCTTGCCCCTTGCATTAAAAGCATTTTTTTCATCTTTACTAAATGCCAAACAGTTGCTGCTACAGTTTTTCCATGTGAAACTATGAGCATATATTTTTCTCTTTCTGTTTGATGTTGCACTGAAAATATACCCAAGAGAATTTGTTATTGTCTTATGAAACCTGACCTGGTTGTGTGCCACAAACTAGCAACCTGGATTCTGACATCAAAACAAACAACTATAGTCCAGTTAGCTTTACTTCTTTTGTGCAAAGGAAAAAGAGAATGAAACAAGAATAAATGGGCCTCACGGCATCAGCAGGCTACTTATCCACAGGAAAGAAAAATAAGTCAGGTATATTGATTTATCATGCCTGAATAATAGTACCTAATGAAAAGGTCTGAAAGTCCAAGCCCTGAGAGAGGGGATATATGGGAATAACATAATAGTTGTTCCTAGGAGTATGTGTAATGTTAAACTGCTGTTTGGTATTGCATTTGAAATGGAGTTTGGATATGTGTCCAAGGAGAATGGAGAAGGGCATGTACCTTTTGGTCAATGCTGTATGCTAGAATCCAGTCTTCTTGCTTAGGATGGAACAGCAGACTCTGGATGTAGAAGCTGAGTCGATATTTTTGATAGGTGGCTCCTTCATCATTACTGATGAGTATACTACTTTCAATCTCAGGATCACTTAAAAGCATTATCTATTTAAAAAAGGTAGGAAAAGTTGAAGAAAGTTTAATAATCTAATAACAATTGAAAATAGTATCATGCATATATAACACACATTTATGTAAGGTTTTTACAACAGGATTTCTGGCACCAATCGACAATCACACATTAAATGTTAAGCAGGGTTTGGCAATGTATCATCTGCAGGTGCCTGATGAGAAGCCCCACTCTTCAAATATCACTAAAATCTCATGGGAATTAGTTTAAGAGTCTCAAAATGTCAGAAATTCTCATGTGAGAAAACTGAAATCTCATAACATCTCTTTAAAAGATCATGACGTTTTGATGCTGTTGAGAATGCATAGACACTTGCTATAAAGTAAAGATTGCCAGGCAGAATTGTGTATTAACTTCATTTGAACAGATGAGTACTATTAAAAGAAAGCCAGATGGCATCATTAATTTATTTTTCAAATTTGTAGCCACACACACTCAGCAAAGCCAGACTACTGACTGAGAAAACTAAGACCAACACAACTATTCTTCATTTAGGATACAGGTACCCCCTATGAGATAACCATATATGATTCAAATGTACAGACCTGGCCAACATAATCAGATGAATTTTCATAATTCTGTTTAAAAGCAAATCCTTTTGAACTGTAGACATTTTACTCACATGAGTAACTCCATACAGCAAAGACAATACAGAACACCATAAATGTTTTGCCATTATTCCATATAACATTGTTCAAATTAAATAAATATTCAAAACATAGAACTTTACATATGAATGTGTAGAAGAACTATAGTAAAATGCAATTATAAAAAGAGTGTACACATATCAGTCACTCGTCCCACATGCAAATGACCAGTCTCAGTCCATTAGAGTAACCAGGGAAGAAAAAAATATGTAACATATGAACTATTAAATATAGGCATTTGAGACAATGGAATCCATGGATATGCTAAAGAAATTAAGATACTGTAGAAGAGGAGGAGGAGGAGGAGGAGGAGTGTTGATATAATTAAAGCTGCATCCATTGTTGATGTGACCCTGTCTTGACTTTTTTAAACTAAAAACATGCCTGGATTAAGAGTTAGTTTTTGAAAATGCTTCTTTTGTGTTTTAGTTATGACTTGTCTAATAGTTATTATAAAGATAGCTTATCTGAAAACATTTATTTGCCTGGGTAAATCCTGGTAGCAATAATGTTAAGCCAAAATCATACAGGAACAGTAACTGATCCTTACACCTACTATGAATGTTTTGTGTCAAACTTGTTTAATTTGGTTTCAAAACTTACAGTGACATTTCTTGATTTATATAAAATAAATTCTCCAGAATATTAATATGGTATATTGCATCACCCTGGACTATCCAATAAGAATTTCTAAAATGATTCATATATTTATTTATTTACAATACTGTAATACACACTGTGTAACTCATAGTCAAAAAATCCTGAATTTACTGGAAAATCAGGAAAAAAAACATTTGTCAAATTGAAGCTTACTTAGTACCTAAACAAAAAATTGAAAATGTATTGGATCTTGTCATTCTGGCATGAATTGTCTTTCAAATCTTAACCTATCCACATAGTAGCTTGAAGATTTAGGAACAAGAGTATCAAATAACATGGAAATTACCAATTTCACAAGATTTGGGCTACTTTTTTTGAGGAGAGATAGGAGGAATTATGGCATATACACAAACTGTTGTGATTTTGATGAATAGTGAACAAGCAATAATTTTATTCCTGAAATATACCCCCAAAATATCACCAAAGGCAATTAAATCAGAAATACAAAACATGGGACAGCTCTACATTCTGTAAAAACAGATGCAAAATGGATTGGGTAAGCAAATCAAAATTTATCATACCTATGCAAAACTGAAGAATGTAAAATGAGAGTATATGTTAATCAAACAGATGTTTGTAATACATCTATTACAAACCACTAAAATATAACATTAATGACTTTCAATGCATAAATCAAAATTACTTACATTGATGGATACAAATTTTTCAAAGAACACTAAAGTAGCACAGATCATAAAATAATCTATGTATGAAACTACAATTTCAGAAATAACCTTACTAAGAGCAAGAACATAATATTGAATTGTGGAAAATTCTCAGATCTCTATTGTTCTTCACTGGAGAAAACATTGCAAAAAGTATCTGGGTATAAAGTGGTAATTTTTTTTTTTTAAGATTGTTTATGTAGTCATAGACTTAAAAGGGAAAGAATGAAGGGTTAGAGATTCAATGTATTAAACTTCGCTAAACATCATAAAAGTTTCAACTTACACCCCAGATATTGAGCTCAACACATAATGATTCCCTCCTTGCTGAAAATATACTTTTATATTCCTTGGTTTCAAAAAGGAATCAACAAAAAAACTGATAACACAAGAAAATTTGTGTAATATCAGGATGTGGAAAACTTTGGTGTATGAAATATCTAGCTTCACATGTTCAGATACAGATATGTGAACATATATGATGCTATTTTGTTTCAGGCACATTCCCAAACTGTCTTTTTCTAGAGGAAGTTGAATATTTCATTCTGTTTAAATTGCTAGGATTAGAAGTTGATTTATTTATTTCAACTGAGGTGTTTATTTTTATTTTATTTTATTTTTTCACTGGACCAGCTCAGTTGAAGTGACTGGTCATATCCCTACTGCTAATGATTTAGACTAGTTGAGGAGTAATGGGTGTAGAATTTGGAGTGAAGCAGCAGGCACTAAAAAAGCCTAGGACCCAGTGTGAGAACCATTATGGATCTAACTGGAAGATTAACTAGAGTGTAAACTATAAACAAATTGCATCAAGGGACAACTGAACTCAATCCTGGAGCAGTTCTGACTGGTGACAAATATCTCTTATTTATATACTGGCATGAAAAAGCAAAGGTTTCTGTCACACCAACTTCAACTTTTATAAGCAGCTTCTTACTAGCATTAGCTGTGTTTCTTACACATAGCATCAGGTTTTGTTAGATAATCTTGGTCTGATAAAGCCACAATTGGACTAAAATTGATACCAGTGCTCAGATTAGTACACTCCATTCAATTGCTAGCTATTTCCAGATCAAATGCCACTTCTCAAGGTACATTTATTTGATGGAACTGCTTTTGTCTGTCTGTCTGTCTGTCTGTCTATTTATCTATGCATACATGGAGAGCAAGAAATGAGGAACAGAGAGAAAGAGAGAAACAGAGACACACAGAGAGAGAGAAAAACAGAGAGAGAAAGACAATGAGAAAAACAAACAATATTCTACCTTTTTTTTCTTAAACTAATTCTGACAAGCCGATTATTGGGTTGGGTTTTAGTGGTATATGTGTAGCTGTGCGCACGCATACATACACAACTTGTGTTCGAAGATTCTTTTGAGGAAGCTACATGCAATCTGGGTCAATTAATATATGTGATCTTCAAGAAAAGCAACTGTATACATAAAATTAATAATGTTATCTGCACACACATGCACTAAAGTACTGACGTTCACACTGGTTTCACACACAAGTGATGTTGATTAAAAAAATAGCACATGTTGGGTTTTGGTCTGCTGCTTAGATCTCTGCATGCATGTGTACTCTGGGATGCATGTGGGTCCAATTGATGTTGAGATTCAGGATACCTTTATATATGTAGAATGCCAGCCAGCCAGACTGACAGACAGACAATCTGGATCTATCCTCAGTCCCACAAGGTAGCAACATATAATTGAAGGGACCCAAAGCATAGACACTCTGTTTGAAGTTACTGAACAGACAAAAACAAGATGGGCCATCCCCAAATAAACAGCCCCAGAAAGAGCTTTATGGGTAACACTGGCATTGGTAATTCAATCTGCTAAATAATGCAGCTTTCAAATCAGCAATGAAAATAGGTAAAGGCAACTTAGAAATCAAGAAACACAAGGATGGATGTGTCATTCCCATCCTGGTCATCAACAAATGTGACCAATTCAGTCTCAGTGCTGTACCCTACCCTAAAATCCAACTGAAACAAGTCCAGATAATCCACTTCCTCCAAATCCCTGTCCTGTTGCTGTCCAACCACTTTTCAACAATTTTTCTCACAAAGAAAGTTTGGAAGCTAGATTAAAAACTGTCTGGGCTGAAGAATCCAATGCAAGATTCTGCTAATGTAGCTTTACAACAAAGTAGAATTAGCTTATCTATTATGTTCCCTGTCTGAGCATAAGTGGTAAGGCTGATATCAATGTTGCAAATCTGAAAATACATTTCTCCTGCCATCACCATTACAGCTGAAGAAATTAGGGAGAGTCTCCTCTTTCGTAGGCACCCCATCTCCCAAGGTCATTTTCCCACAGCATTATAAAGATGGAGAAATAGAGATGTTTCATCACCTTTTACCACAATACAAATCAGCTGTTTCTCTTCTTCCAATGAAGGCCTAGGCAATTCTTTTCAAATTTAATCTCCCAGAGGTCCTCAGAGAACCATGGCGTAGCCCATAATTGGTGCAAAGAGAAAGGACCATAGGAGCAATTCTAAGCAATCCTAGTCTGTAGAGATTCTCAGTCTTAGTCTCCTAGATCTCCTAAGGTCTTAGTCACTTGTCTATTCCAGGCTGCTCACCAGATCCTCAGGGCAAACTCTAATCTCCCTCTGGAATCCAAACAGGACTGCCAGTTGCTTGTGTGTATCTTCCTGAGTTGGGTGGGGGAGGAAGCAAGACAAATTTATGGCAATGGTAATAACATCCAATACTAGATCACATCAGAATTTCCCTGAAACAAAAACCAAAACTAACATGTAACATCTGCCATGTGTTCAATTCAATGCTTACATCACGTTCACTAATCCAGAACATGTAAACACTGACCCTATGCTGTCCAGTTCCTGATCTGTTCCTAGTTATTTATTCTTGTTTTTTAATGTAGCCACAATCTTCATAAACTATCATGTCTTCATTAGGCCCTAGGTTCAGTCCTAGCTGATTCAACAAATGAGAAACCTGATTTTGAAAAAACACTGATGGAAAAAAGG